ATGAACTAGGGGCACAGTTGAGTCAGGCTTTCTGTCTTTTATCCACACTATCGAGTTCTCGTCACCTTAATCAAGCAATCACAAAAATGCACAGTAGTTGTCGCTGACAATGTTTTCCGTCGGGCGATCGATCGGTGTTACTCGTTTTTGCGTTCATTTTGCTCCGACAAGCGCAAAAGGGTGTGTTTTGGGATGGTTTTTGTTTCATTTTCATTTCATTAAGATTGTGTTTTGTGTTTTGTGTCAGTGATAGGCTCAATATTCAGTTCAGAATTCACTAAAATGCAACAATTTTCAAGTTTAAAACAAAATGATTTTTTATGTTCAGTGTTGTGCCATTCATGCTATCCAGATTTGTAGAACAAACTTGTTTTATTAATACCAGGGATCAACCCCGATCAAAGTTGTACAAAAAGGAGTTGAAGCTATAAGTGCTCACTCCAAAAAAAAAAAAAAAAAAAAAAAAAAAAACAAACAAACAAACAAACAAACAAACAAACATAAGAAAACCAAAAGAGAGAGAGAGTAGCATCTTCTCAGTTTTTCGGCAGCAACTCGGCGGAGAAGATTACAACCAGCTTCATTTGCACACAGTTTTACCATCAGCTGCCTCGTTTCATCTTTACTCCTTCGAAGCTTTTGAAGACTCTGCCTCGCCTTGGCAGAACTTCCAAAGGAGATTATTCCTCGCCGGCCATCAAATTGGTTGTGCGAAGAAACTCCGAATCGAGTCACGGAGGTCGTTAGTCGTTTCAATTCTTTGTTCTGCTTTTTCAGCACACCAATTTCTACCCGAGCGTCTTTGTACATACGTTGGAGGAGGGAGAGTTTGCATTTAACCGATGTACCTCACACATCCTGTTCTGCAGTCGACGGGACAAGTTGGAGACCGCTGTCACAGTCTCCACACATGACCTCAGCGTATACGAGTTTGCTTCGATGTCAGATGTCTGCCATGATTTGTTCAACTGACATGCTGGAAAGTTGAAAACAGGGGAAGGAGGAGGAGCCCGTGGTTGAGGTTCAGGGGAGTCAGAATTGGTCATCTCTATCGTGGACTCGTTCAGGTCTGGAAAAAGAGTAGAGAACCATGTGAAGAGGCCATGACAGAGGAGAGTAATGCAAAAGAAAGAGGTTGAGAGTGGTGGCAGAGAAAGTTTGCAGGCTTTGGCTCTGCTTCTCTCTCGCAGGCCTCAACTTAAGAAGAGAGCGAAGGAGAAGACAAAGAGGGAAGAAGGCTGAGATGATCATTGACAATCGGGGCAGATTGGATAGCCTGTCGGTCAGGCGCCGCGATTGTTGAAATCGTGCGCCAGACACAACGCTCGAAGAAGATGACGGAAGAGAGAGTGAGACAAAAACAGAGAGAGAGGCGGGAGAATTGTATATTTATACATATATGTATATATATATGTATATTATATATATATTGTTTGAATATTTTGTCTACAAAGAGTGGGCATGGCTCAGTGCGAGGACTCGAAGGCCAAACTTGAGATCAGAGGGTCGAACCCCCGTGTCTATGCATTTTTCATTTTTCCTTTCTTTTTTTTTTGCGTGTTTTGCGTACGTGCGTTGACGTCAGCAACGGAATATGCCTTCTCAGTAACGGTATCTTTCCGTGATGCTGCAAACAGAATATTCCCCGAATCTATGTATGTATACCGTACATGCATGTCTGTGTATATTGTCGTATTTGTATGTATTTTGTCTGTACATAGTATATGTATACGTATTTGGTTCGAGCATACAATTCCTCCTACATTCTGTGCATCTAACGCATAATAAAGCACCTATCGCACAATTTCGTTCCATCGCACTGTCTTGTGCAATTTCAATTTAATCGCACTATCTTGCGTATCACACCATCTTGTGCACTCCCTAGGTCTAGGAGACCTTAAATCCTCTGAAGGTGCAATTCCTTTGGTGTTTGTCGTGCCCGAACGACTTCAATGGTCTAAGAATGGTCTAGGAGACCTTAAATCCTCTAAAGGTGCAATTCCTTTGGTGTTTGTCATGCCCGAACGACATCAGATGGTTCTGGTATAGCCACCTGCCTTGTGATGTGCTGTGTATTATTCTACCTGTGTTTGCAATGAGTTCCTATGAGACCAACTGGGATGGTGGAAACTAGAGTTCGAATGGCGATGCCTAGAACGCAAAAGGTTTGGAATTTCCGAGACTAAAGTCTGGTTTAAATACCCAGGGGTGTATCCTCGGCTTGAGATCTGTATGGCAGCCCCATAGGTTGAGGTAGCATGTATGTGCCTCAATTCTGGATACTGAACCAACCTAGTCTGTTACCCCGTTGGAGAATAGGGAAAGTTGTGAATATGATCAGGAAGAAAAGCAGCATCGGTGGCTTCTACATGTAGAGGTTACCCCTTGTCATTCTACCATACCTTCTTCCACTTGCGTGAGACGCGTTTGGATTTCGAATCCACCTTTACTCCTTTCACGTGAAACGTGTTAGGATGTGACATTTACTTGGTTAAAACCTTCCCTCTCTTCGTATAAAATACGTTGAGATACGCCTGTTGGTTACACCATTGTCATTTTCTACTTGGTTAAAACCTTCCCCCTCTCCGTATAAAATACGGTTAGGTACACCTGTTCGTTACACCATTGTCATTCTCATTGGTAAAAACCTTCCCTCTCTTCGTATAAAATACGTTGAGATACGCCTGTTGGTTACACCATTGTCTTTTTCTCTAGTTAAAACCTTCCCCTTCTCCGTATAAAATACGGTTAGGTACGCCTGTTGGTTACACCATTGTCATTTTCTCTGGTTAAAACCTTCCCCCTCTCCGTATAAAATACGGTTAGGTACGCCTATTGGTTACATCATTGTCATTCTCATTGGTTAAAACCTTCCCTCTCTTCGTATAAAATATGTTGAGATACGCCTGTTGGTTACACAATTGTCATTTTCTCTGGTTAAAACCTTCCCCCTCTCCGTATAAAATACGGTTAGGTACGCCTGTTGGTTACACCATTGTCATTCTCATTGGTTAAAACCTTCCCTCTCTTCGTATAAAATACGTTGAGATACGCCTGTTGGTTACACCATTGTCATTTTCTCTGGTTAAAACCTTCCCCCTCTCCGTATAAAATACGGTTAGGTACGCCTATTGGTTACACTATTGTTGTTCTCCTTGGTTAAAACCTCCCCTCTCTCCGTATAAAATACGCTGAGATATGCCTGTTGGTTACACCATTGTCATTTTCTCTGGTTAAAACCTTCCCCCTTTCTGTATTAAATGCGGTTAGGTATGCCTGTTGGTTACACCATTGTTGTTCTCCATGGTTAAAACCTTCCCTTTCTCCGTGACACATTTGCATGTGATCTTGTGGCACATTTAATGCAATGCATCCCCTGTTATATTTCATATCATTTGCACGAAGCTTGCCTCTTCATTGTTGTCATCTTCATATCTTTATCATCACTCCATGGCATGGTTTTGCATTGCATAATCATGAATTTTCAAGCAACTGGCTTCGCGAAGCGTGTAAGTCCAACCTTCAAACTGCATTTTGAGCATGTCACTTGCATTCTGCCTCTGAACTACGCTGGTTTGATTCCTTGCAAAAGGATACGTAGGCAACCTTCGGGTTCAACCACTTGCATTGCATCTTGTTTGCTTGCCCAAGTCTTACGGCCTTATCAAAAGGGTCGTCTTTGGGCTTTGACATTCACTCACGTCATGAAATGACTTTGAGCTCTGTCAAAGAGGGGCAACTGTAGAAACCCCATTTTGACCGGCCCTAAGACTTGGGCGCTTTCTTTTGATTACCCGATGATGACAATTAGAATGTGTTTCTCACAAAATTCTTAGTAAGAAAGATGGAATCTAAGTTTTAATCCCAACCTTCACCCATTTTTTTGCCAAACTATTTTAGACCTTAAAACTCTCTTTTCAAAATATGTTTTTTTTTTTTTAAATGTTTTTACAATGTCCCGAGGCTCCCATTTCGATTAAAATATTGCACTTTCAGTAAACCGAGTAAGGACAAAGTGGAAATAAATGGAAGGGAGGTGAAATTTTTGAAAAATATTTAAAAATATCTTCTTTATAGGTTTGGAGTTCAAGGAAATACGAGGGGATGAAAGAAAGCTGGTTTAGGAAAAGGATGAGTATCAAATCATTAAGAAGGAAATGAGCAATCTTCACTAAATTAGGCATTTCTCTTTGTACACTTGGAATTTAAATGTGAGGCCACCACCATTAGAAAGTAGACTTCTGGGGATTCAATTTAGACCCAAGAACCACCTTAGACCAAGTCCAAATAAAGGAGATATGCCCATTTGAAGTTGAGCTTAAGAGCAGATTTTGTTGATCCAGCCCGAGACAACCTTCACTAAATTAGGCATATCTCTTTGTACACTTAGAATTTAAATGTGAGGTTACCACCATTGGAAATTAGACTTCTGGGGCTTCAATTTAGACCAAAGAACTGCCTAAAAACAAGTCCATTTGGGGGAGATATGCCCATTTGAAGTTGGGCTTAAAAGCAGATTTTGTTGATTCGACCCAAAACAACAATAGCCCATTTTTCTTGGTTTTGGTTCGGTTGGGACAACCCATTTACCTATTTTTTGAGCCATTCAAGTGCATCCACTCATCCTCCATTATACCTAATCATCCTCCATTGTCAAAAAGAGGTTTTGTTTGCATTCATAAAGGAGTATCCCATGCAACCACCTTGAAAATTTGCCCTCCTATCACATTCTTGTCTCCCACCTTCTTTTTGACCTTTAGTCTCCCTCATTGCCTATATAGAATGATCATATTGTAAGAGAGGAAGAGGACCACAAAATTGAAGAGAAAGGAGTGAGAAAAGGGTGAAAAAGAGAGAAAAATTGAGTTTTTGAACCAAAAATATTCCTATCTTCCATATACACCTCATACCTTCCATAGCTGCTGAAATTCCTCATGAGTTTTTGAACCAAAAATATTCCTATCTTCCATATACACCCCATGCCTTCCATAGCTACTGAAATTCCTCATTTCCATACACCAAAACCACTCCAAAAATTTTGATATAGCCAAAGATCAATCGCCTCGATCATAAGGAAGAATGTTTAGTGATTGAAAGTGAGAAAAACTTGAGAGTTAGCCACTTTCCATACCACAAACTCCATAAACTCCATAATTTTGAATTGAGGATTTGAGAACACACTTCCTACACTTGAGGGTGATCAAGAGGAAGTTTGGAAATCAAGAAGTTCAATCTTTCTTTGGAAGGTGAATTTTTAATCTTTCATTTTCTTATATTTTATATCTTATATTTATATTCTTGCTTCTTATTTTATTGTGTTTTGTTATAATCCAAGTAGTTTGTTTATCTCATATTTATTTTCTTACTTTATATTTCATAGTGTGTTGTTATAATCCTAGTTAGTGGTTTGTTTAGCTCATAATTATTTATTTATTTTTATTCGCATACTTTAATTTCATATTAGTTTTGTTGTAATCTTGCATGTTTTACTTCATATTTATTTTTTTTGTGTATTAGTCTCATATTAGTTCTGTTATAATCTTGCATGTTCTATCTTATATTTGTTTTATTGCTTTAGGTTTATATTGTGAGCTTGCACTTTTTTTTTTATTTTATATTTATTTTCTTTTTTAATCTAACCGGTAGTGGTTAGTTGAGCCACTTACATATTTTTTTTGTTTGTTCCTTTTCTTGGTTTTGCAACAAGACAGGTTTTGCTTGACCAAGTTCGCCGGCCGGCCTATTTGGCCGGTCGGTTAGCTTCTTCCGAACAAGATGGCGTAATCTCCCAATATTGACCAATTTCCGCCGGCGGTTCTAAAGAACATGAAGCTTTTATTTTATTTATTTATTTTATTTTGAGTGTATTGTGAGGTTTTTATTTTGTTGTAATATTCTCCTCATCCCTCTCTAATTTGGTTTGTAATTATTCTTTAAATGTTGTAATAATTCCCCGCCCCGCTTCTTTCTATCCCGTTCTTTTACTTGCTTTCTTTGTTTGTACATAAACATCATATTTATTTTTCATCATAGTTATGCTTTGCATCCATGTTTCATGCATCTTGATTCAGCTAAGTTTGCATTTGTGGATTTAATCAATTCCTATGTGATTATGTGCGCTACCTCATGTTCTTGAGATGATTCACATATCATATTTTAGAAGCCGAATCTTTAGTTGCATCTCATGAGTGAATTGCATTAGGATTTTGTATATAAGATCATGCATATTTTACTAACTTTGTTTTGCAGCTTGTTCGTGGGACGTCAAACATGTGAGTTTTTATACTTTAGCATCCCGTGTGTGTGCGTTTTTCTTACTATGTCTAGCATTCAACCATGAGGCTAGTTGCTTATGTGATATAACTCTATGAATGCCAGTGGATGGAGGTTGTGTCGCTTAATTTGGAATGATGTTGATTTTTCATGCTTGTAAACTCAATTTATTTGGGATGTACATCGTCAAAACTCTTTCAAAATGCATGATATCAAATTGTTCCAAAATGAATGGCATAGTCTATACTTGTATGCTTCACATAGTAAATTTTAGGATTTATTGACTAATTAGAACATGAACATATAAATAAAATAAAATTCATATCATGGTTAGTAAAGGCCGATCTTTGATCGGGTGGGCGGGGGTGCTCATTATTGACCTTCCCCTCTCATACCTAAGGTTTCGAGCCAAGAATCCTTGGTAACGACGAACAGCGGCCTTGGCACGAGTCATGGGTTTCCTAATTTTCCCAAAATAAATATTAGGTGGCGACTCTGAGATCTGATGACGCAGTCCATTTTTGACAAAATTGCAACAAAATGGATTTTCAATAAAAGTTGTCAAATCTGGACTCTCATCTATGTTTCACATTGCACTCGTGAGAATAGATCAAAGAGATCTCGGGAGTCCGAACTATTTAACGTGCGCGGGTACCCCCGGAGCATGTTACAGTTTCTGGCGACTCTGCTGGGGATTTTATGAAACCTTGACTCGAACTCCATGATATGACTTTTATTTTTAATTATATATTCATTGCATTGCATTCATTCGTGCACTTCAAGTCCTTGTGTTGCCCAGATACTAGTGGGAGCACAGACATGCTTTTTGTGACACTACACCTATCTTTACGATACTTTAGAGGCCTTGTGTCGTAACCTTTTAAGATTTGTCAAAAAGGTAGCTCTGCTACGTAGCTCTGTTATCTAGCTTTGCTATCTAAGGTTCTCAGACTACGAAGAGAGGCTATTTGACTCTTCTGATTTCCTGGGATCTTTATTGGTTATGACCCAAAGGACTCTTTGGTAACGTCACCTTGACTTCAACCCCTAGAGTAGAGCCAACCTTGTGCATATAATGAGCTCTAGTACCTTCCAAAATTAGGACAGGATGCTCTCCCATTTCTAGGATGTATGATGCCGCTTGTTTGAATAGTGAAACCCTAGATCATTTCAAAGTTAGGACAGGGTAACCCTAGCCCCCATAGGGGTGTTTGTTCTCTTTCATGCTATGTGTTATGCGCAATGTATGGGGATTCTTAGATTCAGATGAGTGGTTCAGTCATTTCAGCTTGTGTGGTTGAGTTCAGTTTTTTTCCAACATGAGTTAGCAGTAATCAGTTGAGCTAGGATGCTGATGAAATTCTGATTGGGGGTCCCATTTTGTTTCAGCAAGGTAGTCGAGCACTATAGCTTCCGAAAGGTCTAATATCCCCCAAGTTCTGTGGACCCGCGTTGGTAGACTTTGCAAAAGTACAGATTTGGTTCAGGGTCAGCCAGTGTTAGTTTCTTTGCCACCGGTTACACGAAGAAAAGCAAAAGCTTCATCAACTGTCCAGAATACCCCTTCTTCACCTGCTAGATCATCACCACTTAACTCACCAGAATCAGTGATGGCTCAAATTCCAGAAAATATAGCAGACATACTGCTGGGCCTTCAACGGAGCATGGATATTGTTACCACTACGGTTTCTGCCCAGGGCACTACTCTTGCTGCTCAAGGCAATACTCTTGCTGAACTGCAACGCTCATCTAGGGCATCCATTACTCAACCACCTCCGGTGACCCAGCCAGTTCCACCTCCACCTCCACCGGTTGACGAGTTTCCCGAACCTAATTCACCAGAAGATCTGAGGGTTCCTGCACAAACTTCAGGAGGATCATTTCCTCTTCCACAACCAGTGGGAGGGCTCCATCCCTCTGAAGCACCTGAGTCTGACTCAACTATGTTGAAGCTGGCCAAGTTGGAAAAACTTTTCAAAAAGGCACAAGGAGTCAATTCAATCCCGGACATCGAAGACGGGTACACTGAGACAGCTGTGAAGTTGCCAGAACGGTTTAAAATGCCACACATTGATAGGTTTGATGGCTCCGGTGACCCAATGGTGCACATTTGCCTATTCTCTGATGTCTTAAAGCCTATGGGTTTGACTCGTCCGCAAAAGCTTTCTTTATTCGGACGAACTTTGTTAGGAGTGGCTGCCATCTGGTACGCCAAGTTAGAGGACTCGGTAAAACAAAGTTGGGAAGAGTTAGCCGGGGCCTTTATCACCCAGTATGCTTATAACACCCAGATTGAAGTGACTACTCGGGAATTAGAAGCCACCCGTCAAGAGCCCAATGAAAGTTTCATGACCTTTATCACCAGATGGAGGGCAAAAGCAGCAATGATGACCAACAGACCACTTGAAAAGGACCAAATTCGTATGATAGTCAGAAATCTACATGGAAAGATGTTACAAAAAATGATAGTCCCCCCGCTCTTCACTTTTAATGACTTAAAAGAGATAGGGGTTCAGATAGAGGATGCCATCAAACAGGGAATTATTTTTCTTTGTTTGTACATAAACATCATATTTATTTTTCATCATAGTTATGCTTTGCATCCATGTTTCATGCATCTTGATTCGGCTAAGTTTGCATTTGTGGATTTAATCAATTCCTATGTGATTATGTGCGCTACCTCATGTTCTTGTGTGAAACCCTCTGAAATCAACTTGGTTGCCACCACCACTAAAATAGCCGATCCCTTTGCTCATGCTGGCCTGCAAAACACAACCCGAGCTCCAAGTAGAACATTCACTCCTCTCTATATGTCACTCTCTAAAGCAATGAACATCTTGATAAAAAGAGGGTACTTGACACCTTTGGACCCCCGACCTCTTCCCGAACCTCTCCCAGCCAAACATGACCCTACCAAACACTGTGCTTTCCACCAACAACCAGGACATGACACAAATCGTTGCTTTCGTCTCCAACATAAGATCCAAGATCTCATAGACAATAAGGTCATAGCTCTCCCACAACCGCCAAAACCCAACGTCACTACCAACCCGTTGCCACCCCATGACAGAGTTCCATCACCTCCTCATCTTAACCTCATCCATACACTTTCATCCACCTTCAACCCCAGTATCTATATCACACCTACTCATTTACCAAAACCTGAGGTATATATTCCTGAAGGCATTGAGTTATGCATGATGGATGCACCTCTAACCCAGCCAAAATCCAAAAACCCTATGGTGGTAGTACCTATGCTTGAGGTTGGCAAACTATCAGAGAAAAAGTATGATCCTAGCCGGTATATTATTCCCAATGGTCAACTAAAGCTTGAGGTTGATCTGTCTGACTTATTTTCTATCAATGTTGTCAGAGATGATGTACTTGAACAGGGGTTGGATGATTTGGCCAACCTAGAGGAGGACTTGGCTAATCTTCATTTCTTTGAAGAATTAGATCTTGAGAATGTGCAGAGGGCATGGTGGGAACCGGAGAATTACAGTCACAGTTGGTCAAGCAATGATGAAACTTCTGTTGAGGAAATTAAAAGAAAATGGGATAAACTAAGACTTGATTTCGGGAAACCTGTTAAATGTGGTAAAGGAAAGAGGTCCAAAGGAAGAGAAGAAGAACCAGAAAGCCAGTTAGAGCATACTGTTGGAATGATTCAAGCAGCGCTAGATAATTGCCTTTCAGTCAACGAAGGCGAATGGTGGGATGATAATGACCTACAGCTGGTCCATACTGATGATGAATGGGTAAACCATGTGCCGGATGAGACTTGGTATGCAGACGAAATTGATCATTTGACTAGGAGTGGGCGCTACTTCAAGCCTCCACATCTAGACCAAGGAGAACCCTCTGGTAAAGATAAAGAGATAGAGAAAGAGAAAGAGAAAGAAAAAGAGAAAGAGGTAGAAGAAGACCTGGTTATAAAACAACTGAAAAAGATCCAAGCAAACATTTCTATTTGGGGTCTTCTCATGGCTTCTCGAGAACATCGATAGGCAATGTTGTCAATGTTGAGCAAGGCTAAGCTGTCAATTGACACCACTCCTGAGCAATTAGTGTCATTAATCACCCCGAGAGAAACAATCCCAGTAATAACTTTTGCTGACAAAGAGTTGCCACAAGAAGGATCGGGACATAATAAGCCTCTGTACGTATCACTGGAATGCAGAAAGAAATGGATACCGATTGTTCTGATTGACACCGGATCAGCAATCAATGTTTGCCTAACACGCACTGCTTATGCAATCGGGCTAAAGCCGGCAGATTTCATGCCCACTACTCAATTGATCTGGGCCTATGATAATACTAGTCGGGAAGTGATGGGGACAATCAAAGTACAAATAGCAGTGGGTCCATCTGAGCACGAAGCTGAATTTCATGTCATGGATGTTCCCGCAACATTCAACTTGCTATTGGGAAGGCCCTGGCTTCATCAGATAAAAGCTGTATCATCCACATTACATCAATTGGTAAAGTACCCATACGGCGAAGGAATTGCCACTGTCTTCGGAAATTCATCCATTCATCCTCCCCCAGAAGTCACAACACCACTGCTAGAAATACAGCATGGGAAAGAAGATGTATTCCTATCAGGTTTTACATTGGCAGAGGCCCAGCTAGTTCAAACGCTCATGGCAGAAGATGAAGGTGTATACGTCAGTGCCCAATCAATCTATTTCATGAGTAAACTAGGTCACATTCCAGGGATGGGATTGGGACAAAGTGACAGGAAAAGTATTACTACAGCCAGTGAAGTACCTCATAACCCACATGCATTCGGACTGGGGTATGCACCCACAGTTGATGACTGGAAAAGGAAAACTGAAGAGATCAGGGAGAGGATCAAGGCCAAGAGAACCGGGCAGCAGTTTGAGTTAGTTCATAAGCCAATTCGTGGGACCTTGAACGGACGCTTTGTCCGCCAAGGAGAAGACTTCCCTTTCTGTGGTTTCCCTGAGCCCTGGATTGATTAAGTGGAGAAAAAGAGATACCCTGGGTTTGAGATCTTCTTCAATCATCAGCTTTCTGACAGTGATAAGGAGGGGGTAGATCCTAGTATCGACATCAGACAAGATAGAGAAGTCAGCTCCGAAAGAAGCATAGAGGAAGTTCTGGGTCTAACACTGGCTGACTTACTGATAGAATCACATACTAACGCTGAACCGATGAATTTGGGGGATATGACCATTGCCGTGATCGGGGAAGAGGTACCTGCTGACTGTTCAAGCTTCATCATGGATGCGGTGAATGGCTCACAAATAAATTGGCATTTTGAAAAGAGTTGTATTGAGAGTTCTGAATTGGCTGTTGAGTCTGAGTTTGGTGGGCCTGTGGGGTTAGAAGCAGATTTAAGTTTGTCTAAAATGTCTGAGTCTTCTTTTTCTTTCTCTTTTGAGTCTGTTGCAACTTGTGAGCCCGAGGCTTTGAATGAATATGTGATTTTCGCTTACTTTTCTGTGCCCATAGTTCATAATATTGACCAAAATTTTCAAAATTTTGATAAAAACGAAGAGGAAGAAATTCCTCGGGCTTTGAAAAATTTAATCGACTGGGAGGAAGAAAGGCGTGCTAAGCCATTAGTGGATGAAATTGTTTCTGTAAATGTGAGCACTGAAAAAGATCCTCGCTTGATTCAAATTGGTTCTACATTGTCTTCAGAGGAACGTGAACAATTAGTTGCTTTATTAACAGAATTCAAAGATGTTTTTGCATGGTCCTACGAAGACATGCCAGGAATTGACCCTGAGATTGTACAGCATAGGATCCCTCTCGACCCTGGGGCCCGACCTGTCAAACAGAAGCTTCGCAGAATTCGTCCTGATTGGGCCTTAAAAATTAAAGAAGAGGTTACTAAGCAAATCAATGCTGGTTTTTTGCTAGTATCAGAATATCCTACTTGGTTAGCCAATATTGTGCCAGTTTCGAAGAAAGACGGTAGAATCCGAGTTGTGTTGACTTTCGGAATTTGAATAAGGCTAGCCCAAAAGATGATTTCCCATTGCCACATATCGACGAATTGGTAGACTTCGCTGCAGGACATGCTTTACTGTCATTCATGGATGGTTTTTCAGGGTATAACCAAATCCTTATGGCTCCAGAGGACAGAGAAAAGACAGCATTTACCACACCATGGGGGACATACTGCTACAGGGTTATGCCATTCGGTTTGAAGAATGCCGGGGCTACTTACCAGAGAGCTGCTACCACTCTTTTGCATGATATGATCCACAAGGAAGTTGAGGTGTACGTAGATGACATGATTGTCAAGTCCAAAGATCAGGAAAGCCATTACACTGCATTGAAGAAATTCTTTGAGAGAATTAGGGAATACAAGCTAAGGCTAAATCCACAAAAATGCACCTTTGGGGTAACTGCGGGTAAGATGTTAGGATTTCTGATCACACAACGGGAAATTGAAGTTGATCCATCAAAAATTAAGGCCATCTTAGAAATGCCGACACCAATGACTGAAAAAGAGGTGCGGGGTTTTCTAGGAAAGGTGCAATTCATAAGGAGGTTTATTTCAAAGCTAACCTTGACTTGTGAACCACTGTTTGGTCTCCTAAAGAAAGGGAAGAAGTTCCAATGGAATAATCGATGTCAGTTTGCATTCGAGCAAGTCAAGCAGTATCTGCGGAATCCACCTGTGTTATCACCGCCCGAGCCAGGAAAACCGCTAATTTTGTATTTATCAGTGACTGAATCAACCATGGGATGTATGCTTGCGCAAGAGTCAGATGAGAAAGTGGAGAAAGCCATCTACTACTTGAGTAAGAAGATGCTTGACTACGAGATCCGCTATACTTCCTTGGAAAAGGCTTGCTTGGCTTTGGTTTGGGCCACCAAGAAGTTGAGACACTACTTGTTAGCTCACTCGGTAATTCTGGTTTCAAGATTAGACCCCATCAAACATCTCTTTGAGAAACCAGCTCTTACCGGTAGGCTAGCTCGTTGGTTACTCTTGCTTTCTGAATTTGACCTTAAGTATGTCACTCGCAAATCTGTCAAAGGAAGGGCTGTAGC